AATTCGCTGATGATCCCAAAATTTGGGGTGAGGTGAGCAGGCTGGTAGGGAGGGGAAGACTGCAGCAAGACCTGGATAGGTTACAGGGGTGGGCTAACAAAAACAGGATGTGTTTCAGTACTGACAAGTGGAGGGTGCTGCTCTTGGGCAGTAGTCACCAGCAGCACACTTATAAGATGGGAAGCTCCCTTCTTGAGAGCACGGAGACAGAAAGGGATCTTGGAGTCATTATTGACTCCAAGATGAACATGGGCCGACAACGTGAGGTCACGGTTGGCAGGGCTAACCGGACCTTGTTGTGCATCCACAGGTGCATCTCAAGTAGAGCCAGGGAGGTGATCCTCCCCCTCTATGCAACGCTGGTCAGGCCACAGCTGGAGTACTGTGTCCAGTTCTGTGCACCCCACTTCAGGAGGGATGTGGACAACATTGAGAGGGTCCAGAGGAGGGCCACCCGCATGATCCAGGGACAACAGGTCAGACCCTACACTGAAAGGCTGCAGGACCTAAACCTGTTCAGCCTTCACAAGAGAAGGCTGAGGGGGGACCTGGTGACTGTCTATAAACTCACTGGGGGGGGGGACCAGAAGGGTTTGGAGGAGACACTTTCCCCTAGCGCCCCCCGTCATAACAAGCAATAATGGACACAAGTTATTGGAGAGTAGGTTTAGATTAGACATCTGCAAGAACTACTTCACAGTTAGGGCGGCTAGGAGCTAGAACCAACTTCCCAGGGAAGTGGTGCTGGCTCCTACTCTGGGGGTCTTTAAGAAGAGGCTTGATGCCTACCTGGCTGGACTCATTTGAGTCCAGTCTTTTCTCCCACCCAGGCCGGGGGTGGGGGGTCGGACTTGAAGATCTACAAGGTGCCTTCCGACCCTACTTCTATGATTCTATGTCCCTTGCTAGCTGCAACTCTAGTTGCACCTGGGCCTTCCTGATTTCATCCTCACATGCCTAACCAATACCCCTCCTTAATCATCTGTTCAAGTTTCCACTTCTTGTAAGCTTCCTTTTTGTGTTTTAGCTCACTAACAAATTTCCTACTAAGCCAAACTGATCTAATGCCATACTTGATAGTCTTCCTGGGCATTGGGATGGTTCATTCCAGCATCCTCAGTAAAGTTTTTTGTAAAGTAGAAACAATGATCCTGGACTTCTTTCCCCCACTCAGACTGGCCTCCCAGGGGATTCTGCCCATCAGTTCCCCAAGTGAGTCAAAGTCTGCTTTTCTGAAGTCTATACAGCTGTTTTAGATAAAGTGACTCCTCCTCTTCTCCCCTGCCTGTTCTTCCTAAACAGTGTATACCTATCCATAACAGTGCTCCAGTCATGCAAGTCTTCCCACAAAGTCTGTTACTCCAGTCACATCATAGTTTTGGGACTGTGCAAGGACTTACAGTTCTGCCTTCTTGTTTTCCAGACTCTGTGTGCATTGGTGTACAGACACCCAAGGTAACTAGCCAATTGCCCTACTTTCTCAGGAAGAATGAGAAGGCCTCTCTTGTTGGCCCCTCCGGCTTGTGCTTCCTCCAGGTCAGGCACTTATCTCAGGGCTTTGGTCTCCACCCTCAGCAAGCATAATTTAAAGCCTGCCTCACTAGTTTAATGAACCTGTCTGCAAAGATGCTCTTCTTTGTCAGGTTGATCCCATTTCTTCCTAGCAATCCTTCTTCTTAGAACAGGATCCTGTGGTTGAAGAAGCCAAAGCCTTACTAGTAACACCACTGATCTGCAGGATGCATGCCCTCCTTCCTAGGCCCTTCCCCTTGACCTGAAAGGGTAAGGAGAGCACCACCTAAGCCCCTGTCCCCTTCACCCTTGCACCCAGAGCCACTCTTGATCTGCTCAGAGTCCCTTCTGGCAGTTTAATTGGTGCCCACATGAATGAGCAGCATGAGGTAGCAGTCAGAGAGCTGGAGAAGTCTCAGTAATCCTTCTGTGACATGTCAGATTCAGGCTCTGGGAAAGCAGCACCCCCCCCCCAAAAAAACAAACAAACAAAAAACAAAAAACCAACAGGTCAGACCAACAGACCAATGCCTCTGTTCCCTGCAGGCAAGGTTCTTTAAAGTAGATGTGATATATTTTATTAAACTAACTCAGTTGGTCTAATAAAAGATAAATCACATCTACTCAAAGAATCTTACCTGCCTATGCCCTTAGACTAACATGGCTACAACCAAAAACCTCTGTCCCCTGCCGAAGGGAGATGCTGACCACCACTGCCTATCACTTCCTTTTGGTGGCAGTGATCTCAATCTTCCCAACTCTGGGGAGGCCTGGCCTCTTCTGCTGACAGCACATGCTCCTTCTCCTCCATTGCTAGGGCTCCACGTGTTCTCAACATAACCTGCTGCAGGCAGGAATGAAGACTTCTGCTTGTTGCCAGAGGTCACAAGCTTCCAGTTTTCTGAGAGTCCCATCTTCTCCTTTCTCCAGGGTCACCTCTGGCTGTCCTTCCTTTGCTGTTCTAGATCCTCCAGAATCAAGTCAATGAAGTCCTCAAGGCAAAGGATGCTTTGGAGCCTTGCTACCTCCTCTTGTACCTCTTTTGCCTGCTCCTTGAGGGACACGACTGCCCATACCTCAGGCATTCCCCCACATGGCTGCACCAAAAGGAACCTACAAGCCACAGTCTCCACACCACCAAACCAGGACCTGGGTGGAAGCCTTGACAGTGGCCAGTCCTGCTTGTACAGATACCTTACCGGTGCAACCAGAGGAAAAAAAAAAAATCTTAACAGTAGCAGTGGCTCTGGCATTGCAACATCATCCAGCCATCTCTCTGGGTATCTTAAATCCACTACCTACCTCTTCCTGCCCCTCTCTCTAAGCAGAGGATCTCTAGCAAATTGTTTTGTAAGCTGGCCTGTTTGCTGCTCCTCGGTTCTGAAAGGTTCCTTTTTCCCCACTAACCTGCTTCCGCTCACCAAGCTTACAGTGAAGGAGGGCGAGAAAGTTTCTGGGCAAACTTCCAAGCAAACTCGCCACTCACTCTGGTCTCTAGTTAAACAAGGGACTTAAACAGCTAGAACTCAGCAGTTAGATCAATACTTACACTAAGTATATGTAGATTAATTACTGTTAATTAAAGAACTTACCTTAAAGACTCCCCTTCCAAGGGGAGCAAACTGACCTGTGTATTGCCCTATTTGTTGTCCCCGCTCTCTCACTGCCTAATCACTCAAGGATTCTCCTTTTATATTGTCCTTGGCCTGGACTGGTTCCATCCCCTTGTTAAAGCTTTTTTCACACACAGGCAGTAATCGTTCAGCAATCACTCAGCTAACAGCACTCCCAATTGCTCAGAACATGCACCCAAGCACACAGCCCACCAAGCAAACACTCAGCAAGCCAAACACACAGTCCTGGCTCACTTACCTTCCAGAAGCAGGATCTGGTGCCTGGCTCTTCTTCCCCTTCCTCCTCTTGTTCCCAGCAAGCTGCTTCCAACCTGCCCTGTCTGATCACAACAGGGTTCTCTAGCTGGATCTTCCTACCCAGCACCTGCTTAGGATAGCTGGCATAGGTAGTAGAGCCCCAGCTCAATCTTCCTGCCCAGTGGACAAGGCTAGGTGGTAACTCCCCTGGCTCCACTGTCCAGAGTTTGACTCTATTAAATGTTTTGGGTTTCAGCTGATGTTTAATAGTTAAGGTTTTCTTTAACATTGTCAATTTGTCTGCCTCCCCCTCAGTAATAAACCCTCTTATTGTTGAACTTCACTTGCAAGTGGCAAAAATAGTTCACTTTAGTGCTGCTATCTTTAAGTTGGTGTTCCATCTTATACTTTGGACTCAACTTGGAGCACGCTTGCCAAAAAGGTTGTACACCACTGTCTTATAACTTGATTATTAGAGCAGTTGTCTGAAAAATGGACAATGTGGAAAGCCTTGGTCTTCTGCATTGGTGCTTGAACACTGAGCAGTTGGATAAAAGTAGAATGTGGCAGAGGCATACCTGGGCAATTTTGCATCCTGCTGGGAGCATCTATGCACAGGGCACCATCACAGGCTGTATTGTTAGTGGGTGTGGCTGGACTAGCAGTGTAGCAACTGCTATTTTTATGCTCCCCTTCCCCCATGCCTCCCCAGATACCTAGGGCTGGTGTCCTGATCAGGGTTACCAACTGTCCATAAGTTTACAGACAACCTGTGAACAACTTAGAAATGCCTGTTCATGAAATCTATTAGAAAGATGGAGCAGTCTGTAAGAAGTCTAAGCAACCATGAGCTTGTCTGAGAATTCGTCATCTGAACAAGGCTGGATGTTGAATGACAACGAACAGAAAAGCATTACCTGGAGTCTGACCAGGAGTGCAGCTAAGCACCCTGTAGGACAGGGGTGGGCAAAATGTGGCCCGGGGGCTGGATGCAGCCTGCCAGGCCATTCTATCCAGCCCATGGGGCCCCTAAAAAATTTAGAAAATTAATATTTAACTTCCCTGGGCTGCCTATCATGCGGCCCTCGATGGCTTGTCAAGACTCAGTATGCAGCTCTCTACCTGAAGTAATTGCCTGCCTACTGTAGGAACTGCTCTCTTAGGGTTTTGAGGCTCACAGGAACCTCCATAGCTGCTGCCCCACCCCACCTAGAAGCAGCCCATGGCTTAGGGCAGGGACAGAAGCATGGTATATAACCAGTCAAGCAGGGTTGCCAACCCAAGATTTTTTTTTTTTTTTTTTACTAGCAATATACAAGCCTTCTTTTACTGACTATCACAGCCCACCCAGCTAGCCTAGTGAGTTGAGCTGGGAATGGGACCCCAGCTTGCCACGATAGGGATCAGAAGCTACAAGTCAGGAGCCAAATACCAACCCAGGGTCAGGATCCAGGAATCAGAAGCCTAGTTACCAAATCCAAAGAACAATCCACAGGGCAAGTCCAAAAACAGCTGAAGCTGGATCTGGAGCCAGGAAACAGATCAGCAGGTAAATCCAAAAACAAACCAAAGGCAAGACCAGGAACACCAAGACATTGTTAGGATAGACGCTACTCAAAGATTGGAAACCAGTAGGTTATACAGCAAGACTCAGGTGCTGCAGGTGTTTCTTAAAAGCAGCCCAAGCAGTAGAGACAAGGGGCTGGTGGGCTGCTGACCTTAATTATTCACAGCTGGATCAGTTGCACTTAACAAGGGCTGCAGGGCTGTAGCCTGATTGAGCTTCACAGAGTTGAACGAGGTTGTAGGACAGAAGCCTTACATTAACTAACTTTTTTATTGTAGTAAGTGTTGGACCTGGCCTTTGTCATTACCATCCAGGGCCTGACAGAAGGTTTATATTTATATCATATAAAACTTATGCCATTACAAAAACTTTCCGTAAAAAAGCATTTGTAGATTATTAGTAAGAAAAATAATCTTGAATTGGCAATTCTGGTTACAGTCATTGGCAATGCATAGGGGGTGCATGATCACCCCCTAAGCTTGGTGGTACATCCCCTGAAAAAAGTGCTGCCAGCAGCACCTGTGGTCAGTTGCTGCTTGGCACCAACTAAATCTGTAGTATTGCAAATATAACATATTGCCTCAAATATGGTTCTTCTTGAACCTCAGGTGCAACTTTCTTAATTTTTATACTCCCAATTTAAAAAACAAAACATCAAGTAAAGACGCTATGTTCCCTCACCTTGCATAGATATAAATGACAATTTATAAATCATGTGCAAGGCAAGTACATAGTTAGGTCCTTTTTAATAGAAGCTGATGTAACAAGGACCTCAATATGTATCTGGACTTCAAAGGCCTGTAAGAATTTCCACCAGATGAAAAATATGGCCCCTGTGATTTCTAGATATTTTTTCTTGTTACAAGAGAAATCATTGTTATTCCTCTGAAAAAAATACAACACATATTGAATATGGCAACACCTTCACTTCAAAGGACCAAGTAATCTCCATATCAAAGCAGGGAATAGTTCTATCATTAAAAGGGCTGTCCAAGGATACAGAAACAAACCCAGTCACAGGCTTCTGCTGTTCCTTGCAGCTGCTGAGAGGCCTGTAATAGCTACAATTCATAGGGAGTGTCAGCCTTCAGTACCTTCAAGCTTAGAATCCTTCCAAAGCAGATTTTCATAATCTTGCTGCTGTTCCTATGTTCATTCATTGTTTCCATTTTCAAATATGCTTTAGATTACTCCTGCTTAAACTGAGTGGTGAGCCTTGATTTTACATTTGGGATAATTCCCAGCTGAATACACCAACTTTCAGTCTCTCCTTCAAAACCTGGGAAGACAAGTGTGCCTTGTAGCATGTCCTGAAGTCAATGTATGCGTGGATAAATAGACAGGGGAACTTTTTTGTCAGCTCCACCTAGAACTCCCTGGAGAAGATGCTCTGCCCACAGCTTGAACCTTTTGACTAGTAGTTAGATTCGATGAGAATAAATGGGGAGATGACATGTTTTTTTGGCTTTCACAAGTCTTTATAATATTACTGTTGATGGAATAAGGATGAAAGAATGCATTCAGAAAGGAATTTGTGCCCCTAGCAGCAAACCCATGCCTTGCTAGGCAAAACTGTAGGGGCATATGCCTGGTGTTTCCCACCTTTAGCCACCACAAGTCTGATGTAGGTCTGATCTGGACAGAGAAGGTCCAGATAGATGAAAAAAAAAAACAAAAAACAAAAAAAGCAAAGTGAAAAGCAAGTATCAAATGCCACATAAAATGAGAGGGGCAAAGAGGTGGGTTGTCTCTGATAATTTCAAAATACTCAGTAAGCACACATACACGAGACGTTTACTGCCGGGTTGACTAATTAACTGTGCAGTAAACATCTCAGTGCATGAATGCCGTGTGCCCCTGGACGCTGGGGGGCATGGCAACTGCCTGCAGGTGGTGGCAGCAGCAGCAGGGGCATAGCATCTCAAGCAGGGAGCTCCCACAGGTAGCCATGACGATGTTGGCAGCAGGGAGGGCAGGTAGCAAACGCTGACCAGTGGTTGGCAACCACCTGCAGACACTGCTGGCAGTGTTGGCGGTAGCCAGTGGAGATTGGGGACAGCCCGTAGACGCCACAGGCAGTGCCGGTGGCGAGCAGCAACTGTCCGCAGGCACTGTTGGCAGCTTTGGCAGTGCACAGGGGGTGTACCGCCAAACTCAGGGGGTGCAAGTGCACCTGCATGCAACCCCTACGTGTTGCCAATGTCTCAGTGTCTCCACATGCACTCCTATTAGGGCGCACAAAACTAATACACTCAGCAACAGGGTAGTACTTGTAAAAACGAAATACTTAATGAGCAGGGTTGTACTTGTAAAAACAAAATACAAGTACTACCCTGCTGAAGAGTTTTTTCATGTGCAGGAGTACATGTGTAGACCCTGACCAGAAGGTGCTTCAGTGCCAGGGCTACCTGCCGGCTAACCCCACACTGAAGCACCCTCGTGCCCCAGCCAGTCCCTCCACAGCAGGTTAAGCCCAGTCAGAGCAGCCCCAGGCTGGAAGGGCGAACCCCTGGGCCCCTTGCCAGCTGGGGCAGTTGTGACCCAGCTCAATGTGCTGTAGTTCAGGCACATGTGCAGACAATAAACTGTGGAGCAATAAGCTCCACAGTTTATTGCTGCCCCCTAATGGCAAGTGTACACATACCTAGTGTCATTCCTATATTTGAAAGTTGTTTTTTTATATCTATATTAACTCTGTCTTTCCCATATAAAGTAAAGACACCTGCTATTGCCAACATTGTCTTATCTGTCTTCCTCTAAAACCAAAGCAATGCTGCTGGGAGTACAGGTGTAAGTGGCTAGTACTCAGCCCTGGGAAGTACAGTGTCCTTCCTTGCACCCTGCATCTTCCTTGCTCTGGCTCCAGCAGTGGGGAGGACAGAGCAGCTAACATGTTGCCAAAACCTATGGTTTTTCAGCAACAAAAGGGAAGGTGATATCGGAAGCAAACCCCAGTTACTCCTCCTGGACTGTCTACCACCACTGCTTCTCTACCTTCCCCACTATCAGAGCTGGAGTTGGAGCCAAGAAGGTGCCCACCTGGTGGTTTCCATCTATTCTCTCACTCATTTTTCTTTCTAGACAGTAGGATTACTGTTGCTGTTTGCAAAGGCATGCTAAAGCAAGGAGCAAACTGACCTGTACCAGGATGGTCAGAGAGTGCTGGGGTTATACCCATTGAGGGCAGGAAGTTGTGTTGGCTTGGGGCCAGCATTACTTCCCTGGGCAGTATAAAGTTCAGGAGGGTAGAAAGTTTGCCCATGGAGCAAAGGAGTGGGACGAGCTGGGAATGATGCATCCTAGGATGCTGGAGGAATGAAAATAGAGCATTTTGTCTTCCTGACTTAATAATACCCTGCAATGGCCTGGGTAAAACAAATCAAAGATAACCCTCACTTGGGGTGGTGTTACAGGTTACCTTTAAACCATGGTAGAGGCACTTAAAATGGGAGCATTCACCTATTAATGGCTGTTAACCCATGCTAAGTACCCTCTAAACCAGGGGTGGGCAAAATGGTGGATCCAGACAGTTGCCAGACTCCATTTCCCAGCAGCCCCTGCCCACATGGCTGGAACTGGTTTCCATGGTGACCCCAACAACAGCTGTGCAAGGCTGGGGTTTCAAAGCAGACCAGCCTCAGCAGCACTGGCAGAGCATGCAGCAGGGTGGGGAGCTGCTCCAGAGCTGCTGGGATCTTGCAGCAGTTACAGCATGGTCCAGAGCCAGAGCAGACCTGTGATCTGCAGCCTGCACTGCTGCAGGTCCCCACCCTGTCACCCTGCCAGTGCTGCTGGGGCCGGTTTCCATGGAAACCCCAGCCTTTTACTATGGCAGCATCTCCATGGAAACTGGCCCCAGCCATGCGGATAGGGGCTGCTGGGAAATGGAATCCACTGCTCTCCAGATCTGGCCCATGGGCCGGACTTTGTCCACCCTGCTCTAAACATTTAAAAGTTATGCCAGTTTAAGTGAGGGTTATCTTTGATCTGTTTTACTGCTCTGAAACTGTTCTAAGTTTATGATGATATAACATTCCATAAATTTAAAATATTGTGTGTGTGTGTATGTTATATGTGGGGGTGGGAGTAGAGTGTGTGGTCGGGGTGTATGTGGGGGGTGGGTATGGGGTGTTTGTGAGGATGTGGGGGGGTGTGGGGGTTGTGGGGTGTGTGAAGGGGAGGGTGGCTGGGGATGTGTGGGGTTGTGGTGCGTGCGCGTATGTATTGTGGGGTTTGTGTGTGGGGTCCCCCCTACAAACATACCCCCTCATTGTGCACAGCCCCTGCCACCAGTAGCAGCAACAGGCAGAGCCCCCTGTCAGGATGCCATCCTGGTGAGCCCCAGGACTGCACATGGCTCAGCTGCCGGCTCCATTGCACAGGGCTCACATGCCTGAGTCCCGTGCCACTGGGGGGAGCCCCGCACAATGAAGCTGGCGATGCACATCATGGGGCTTGGCTGGGGCAGCAGGGAGAGGAGTAGAGCTGGCTTGGCTCCATAGCACAGGGCTTTCCACCACTCCCCATGACCTACTCATAGCAGTGAATGGGGCCGGGCCACTGGCCCCATTGCACAGGGCCTCCCACAGAGGCATGTGGCTCAGGTACAGAACCTGAGAGCTGCATGTGAGCTCCACATGATGGAGCCAGGTGGACCCTGAGACCCTGCTGGACCAGACTCTGTGCTCCTGTTGCCCCGCTCTGCGTACCCATTGACCCCAGCCCCAGGGCACTGGCGCAGGCCCCGTGCCACCCACTTGCCACATCGCTCCCGCCAGCCACCGTTGCCACTCCTCCCCCACCCACCCACTGCTGCCATCATAACTCCCCACCTGCTTACCCTGCTGCTTCCCCACCTTACCACCTGCTGCCCCCCCTTTCCC